AAAACTTCTCCACAGTGTCAAAGTCCAAAGCATGGAACCTTATGGGCTCAAGTGTCCGTATACACAGCTTTCTGGCTCACCTTGTGCTTGTGTTCGGCCACCTGGATGTGGTTGAGGTCTCTTCCAAGTCCAGCCGTCTGCAGCTTTAACCAGCGCTCATAGATCCAGGCCTCCAACTCCTCACAGTCATAGAGGAACTCAAACAACCTCAACTGAGCCTCCAACTGCCTCCTCCTGACACAGCAAAGGAAAGATGTGAGGCAAGATGAGCACAGGTGAGAGATGTAGCAACAGAATATCAGACTAATTCGACTTTCTATTCCACCATTTTGGACATACAAAGAAATGTTACACGTTTAGACCTGTTGCTTGATAAATTATTTTTCCCTCATGCTGTAAATGAGAAAACTAAAGCAAACCTGCTGTTGCTGAGAGACACCAGCGATTTGTACTGAGTGTCAAGAGCTCTCACTCTGCTCTGAATCTGCTGCCCATCCCTTACTTTTGCCTGAGTGAGAGAAAGGACGTGGGTCAGTCTGACAGAAATCACCCTTACAAATCCCCCAAACAGTGAACTAATAGGACATGAGATGACAATTATTAGCGTACCTTCAGAGCTCTGCTACTGATTGTAGTGATGGTTTCACCATGAGTTGAGATCTGAGCTTCCAGGAGATCTTGTTTCTGAAGAAGAGACTCCACCTCCGTCAGCTGCTTCCCCAGTTCAGAAGAACTGGCTTGGGACTGAGATGGGATAAGGGAGGGGACAGTCAGTAATATTAAAGTCACCCCACTTTTCTCACAGTACAATCTAAGTAAAACTCCAGTGTCGTCATTATAACTAAAATTCGATTAATAAGCTCACTTGTAGTTCTTTCAGTTCCTGGGAGACAAGCTCAATGTCCCGCAGGATGCTCAGAGTTTCAACTACATTTCCCAAAAGCATCCTCTGTTCTTGGAGCTGCTGCAGCAGGTCCTTCCATCGATGGCTAATGTTCTCCTCCCTTAGAAACAAATATATTATTATGTGTTTTTTTAATTAATGTCACTTCTTGGTTCTTCTCCCTTCAAAAAGAGAAAGACTTGAGGTTACACAAAGTCATTGTTTTCATCCTCCCACCTCCTAATGACCTGCTCCTTGCTGTGGTAGTTTCCTTTCTCGATGGATTTTGCCATGTCTCTGAGGGCCGTGAAGCGTGGCTCCCTGGCCAGTGCATCGGTAGCCAAGGCCTCCAGACGCCGGCCAGCTGCCTGAGCCTCCTCCAGTGTGGACAGACCTCGGATATCCTGCCTCCGGATCAGACGCAGTGTGTCCTCAAGATAGCCCTCCCTCAGAGCTGCCTGAGAAGACAAAAAGGAAGGATTTTGC